ATAAAAATAAAAGTGAAAGCACTTCCTCTTAAAGCAAGTGCTCAGAGTGAAAGCTGAGGTCCTCCCAAGGGCTCCCCTCCCTCCTCCTCCCCCACTTCCCACTTGCCTGGCTGCCTCTGTGGCCACGCTGGCTCCCTGCAGGGGCTCCAGCCCGCAGGCCTTTGAACATCTCGGTTCCTCTCTTGGAATGCCCTCCCTCTGATATCCACTTGGCTCACTTCTCTTCCTCCTCCCGACTTTAATCAGATGTCACCTCACAGGGAGGCCTGCCTTGGCCACTAACTACACTTGCAACCTGCCCCACCCCTAGAGTCCCCTCTGTTCCCATTCTCTGCTTTGTTTTCCCCCAAAGCTCTGCTCACTACCTGACAGCACATCACACTTAGGTGCTTACTGTCCCAGCCTGTGAGCCGAGTGAGGGGTGAGAGCCCTGTTCTGCTCACTGCGGAATCCCCAACAACAGTGGCCGGCACCTAGGCACACAGTAGGTGCTCAGCTAATGGAGCTTACACTGTAGCTGGAGGATTTGCCATTAAGCCACTGAGTACATAGATAATCCTCTCATGACAAGTGAGGAAAATGTCCTGAAGAAAGACTAAGGACCATGGGGGGTGGGGAAGGGGGAGTCATAGGCAGGGCTGATCTAGCTGGAAGGGCAGAGGGGGAGCTGGTGGTCTGACAACTCTTCATGCAGGAAGGACTGCTGGGCTGAGACCTGAAAGATGGGGGCGGGGGGGGGGAAGGGGGGGAAGGAGCCTTCCAGGGGGAGGGAGCAGTGGATGCACAGGTTCCCAGCACACCTCTCTGGAGCCCCTCTCCCACACCCGAGGGGCCTTCCCTCTCCTTATGCAGCTCATCCTCTGAGACCCTAAACGTGGCTGCATTTCCTTGGAATTGGTTGCCGGGAAAGGGAGGAAACCAGGTCCCCAAGTTAAGCTCCGTGACATTAACAATCCACTTCCCAGGCCTCTGGGATGAGGGTGCAGGTCTCTGGGACGCTGTGGACAGGCCCAGACCCAGGCCTTTGGCAGCTGTTTCTTTTCCAAGAACAGAGCTGCAGCTACCAGAGCCCCCTGCCCCTATCCTCTCGGGCCTGAGATCACAGATGCGGGGCTTTCCTTTTCATTAGCTTAATGCTGTCTTTATTAACTGGGAAGGGTTCCTGGAACATATGATCAGTAAGAATTAAATAAAAGACACACGTGCACCAGCCCCCCACCAGCCTGCCGCGACAGAGCGTCTCCCGCTTGGAGCAGTTGTCCCAGAAACAATCCAGGGCTACCAGGGCGGCGGCCAAAGGCACGGAGGGGGATTTGCAGGAGGAAATTGCTCAGGATGCTTCTGCGATGTGCAAATGGGAAAGGGTCGCCCCGCAAAGAGCCGGGAGTGGGGCCCAGGCAGCAGCAGGTGTGCACAGAGCCCAGAAAACCACGAAAGGGCTCAGGAGAGGAGCAAAAGCAGCTGCGAGGTGGAAGAAGTACCTTTTTCGCTCCCTGCTCCTCTTCGACCCCGTCACCAATCACGATGTAGACGGCTTTCCGGCCGAACCTCTGCATTATCCTCTCGAAGCAGCTCTCCTTCCCTGAAGAAGGAGAGGGAGGAGAGAAGCTGGTGAGGCACAGAGCGCGGTGAGTGAGGCGCCGGCTGAGCCTTTGCTGGGTGCACCGTCCTCCTGAGGGCCAAGCGTTCATCATCTCACCCTCCAGCAACCGAGGCTCACAATGCTGTCATCCCCATGTGACCGATGACAACCAGAGGCGCAGAGAGGTTCAGTGGCCTGCCCAGGGGGACGCAGCAGAAGAGGCAGTACAGGGGTTTGCAGCCGCTCCGGAGCCTATGCAGCTGTCTGGGTAGGAGTGACGGACCCCTTTTCCAGATGTGGTCACGAGGCTCGAGGGGTGGGGCGATTTGCCCAGGCTCCCCAGGCCCACCTGTGATGACCGCCTCCCCTAGTCACCTTCTTCCCAGTGTCTGGGCAGCAGCATAAGTCCAGACACGATGGATTCACATCTTAGTTCATCCTAAGATTGTGTCAGCAAGTTTGGTAACCATAACAACAACAAAACAGCACTAATAACGAGGGACTGCCACTCTCTGACTTCACTATATACCAGGCTCTCTGCTAAGGCTTCCCCTACGTCAGGCCTGCTCAGCCTCAGCGTGAGGCCATGTGACTTGTTGGACCAGTGGTGTGTTAGGGACCTGCCGTGAGAAATGGGTGTGGGGGTCTGCCTTGGCTTCCTTCACTTCTGCCATGGGGGGAGCGTGGCCCTGGTGGCCGCGGGCTCCACGATGAGGAGCAGACGGAGCCTGGCGTTAAGCCCGGCAGAACCATAGCTGACTCCCCAACCCGGAGTGGGAAATGAAAACTGGTTGCTGTAAGCCACCCAGTGTCGGGATGTTTGTTATGCAGACGATCAGGGCAGAACCTGACTTGAAAAATATGGTTTTTAGGTTAGAACAGGGAGCTGGTGACCAAATTCCTGTCCTATCATCTCAACTTGGACTGTTGCAGTTCTTTGATCTTCAGGCTCGCCAAGTGGAAAACGGGAGTCGCTCTGCCACTTCTCCGACGGCATTTGATTCCTCTGACACAGGGGTCCGCGGCAGAACCTCTCATCGCCATCTGGGGCCTGACTTCCTATGGTTTCAAAATCTAAAGGCACTTCTAGGTGATGTTCACATCTAGAATTTTAGTAAAGGCAAAAATTGCTCTAAGGAAATGCTTCTAAAGTACCACACATTGGTTTTTTATCTCCAGAAAAAAAACCCCACAAGGGTAAACACTTCTAATTAAAAACATCTTAACCAGATTATTTATTTTAGTTTTCCATCTCCATTTATCCCCTCCATGCCCGCTTCCACCTCCACCCCCAAAGGTTTATTTTTGAATTATTTATATTGTATTTAGTTTTTTTGTGTGATATAAGAATAAAAAACCCCAGTTCCCCCACACATAAAAAACAAACCCAAGCAAACCAGTATTACTTGCCTTGATACTGTTAATTTTTAGTTACTAAATTCTCTTATCTCATAAAAGCTTTGAGCCTAAGGCTTGCTCTCTTTGTTAGTAAGGGAGATTACCAAGCGTTGGAGAGGTGTTAAAGCAGGTGAGCACTAAATGGAGACTCTCTCCTGAAAAGAGAACCGAAAACGCTTTTCTCTCTATGTGGTTCAAGCTTAAATTCAAGGTAATTTGATGCTTGTATCACCTAAATGAAAATCCCCTTATGTACCATGCTGTGGAGGGAATGGCTTTCCTCAGTAACGAGATTCCGTGAGTACTACCTGTGCTCACAGTCACTTAGCTATGGACTACATTTCCCAGCCTCCCTTGCAACTAGTTGTAGCCATGGGACTACAGTGAGCAGAAGTAACTTGTACTCCTTCTGAATGTTGGCTTTAAAATATTGGATGGGCATTGCACCTTCCCCTTTTCCAGCTTTGCATAAACTGGCATGTCGACGTGGCAGGACCCTGATCTGACCACATACGTGAGGATAAAGCCGTAAGGGAGGGTGGAAAATAAAATGGGAAGAACCTGGATTCTGGGTGAGTATCAGGAGAGGGTCACTCACCAACCTGGATCACTGCCCTCTGGTCGGTGGACCTGGGAGGGAGAAATCAGCTTTGATGCTGATGGAAGCCTTTTATTTGGGGTGTTTGTTAGAGCAGGTTTGCAATTACCCTAACTATGGAAAACTGTTCCTAACCAATTTCCCTAGAAGCAGAGCTTAAAGCTGGTGGGTGGTAAGGGTTGTTTTGGGGACCTGAGTCATGCCCTTGGACAGGTTCTGGAACATCACTAGTGCCGTCTTCCTTGAACTTTCCATGCCTGGGGCGGTAGGCTAACCCCGCCCGCGTCGCCGGAGGGCTGGGCCCCCCTTACCTGTCTTGGTTGCACTGTAGATATTCTCGATTGGAAACACAGAGCCCAGTCCGTACAGCAGGACTTTGGCCAGGGCAGGGATTAGTTGAGTGGTGGTGACCAGCACGTTGACACAGTTGGGCCTGAGGACAAGGGAGACTGTAGATCAGAACTCCAAGGGACCACAAAGCCAGGCCCTCAGAAGTCAGGGCAGCTGCTTGCTCAGCCGCGGCACAAGGGGTCCATGGTGAACTCATCTTTATCAAATGCCTGGAAAGTGCCAGTGAGAATCTGGAGCGTCCTCTTCCCCTGAGTGTGGAAATGGGAGAAAGGAAAACCAGGGCTCCCACTTACCGGGAATGGATGAGGTTCAGTGCCTTCAGGGAGTGGGTCAGCCAGAGGTCGGTCAGAGCTTCCAGCTCAGCCCTGAGCTGCAGCCAGGTCTCTCTTTTGGGAGCGCCTATCAAGCCTGGACACGGGAAAGAAAGATGGGGTAGTTGTCATTTTACAAAGGCCTGGGAGGGGGTAGGCCGAGGGAAGGGGAGCCTAGCTACCTTGAGGTTTCAAATCAGATGACCCCCAAAGCCAACTGCAGTCCAGTAATCTTAATCTTATTTTGGGATTGACTGATTGACCCATTCATCCATCCGTCCAACAAAAACTCAAGAAGTGCCTTCTGCATGGTCAACATCGTGACAGGCACAGAACATACAGGGGCAAACAAAGCATCCCAGCTATAGAGCCTGCACTGTTACAGTGGAGACGAAAGTTAATAAATAAATAAAAGACTAACATTTATTGAGTGCTTACTGTATGCAGGGGCCTCTGCTTTTAACATGACATTTCTTTTTATTGTTACATGGACCCCAGAAGCGGACACTTTTTATTTTTTAACATTGAGATATAACATTAGGTTAGCGGCTAACCGTGAGCCAGTTAAAGAAACAGGTTTTGTGGGGCTTTGTGACTGGCTCACAGTAGAGAGGAATAATGGAGACAGGCAGCTGACCCCGAGCCCATACAGTGTTTCGAAATCTGACTGTCATCTCTCAGTCATTACTGTCCTTAGATCGTGTGCAGACTCAACAGCCCATGGCCCTGCCCCACTGCCCTGATGTCCTTCCATGCCAGCCGAGTGGCCTCCTCATTGTCCTTGGAACACCAAGCATGTTCCTGCCTCAGGACCCTCCCATACCTCATTTCTGACCCTGAGCCACTCTTCTTCTTCTTCTTCTTCTTTTTAAAAAAAATATTTTATTGATTTCTTACAGAGAGGGAGAGGGACAGAGAGTTAGAAGCATCGATAAGAGAGAAACATCTATCAGCTGCCTCCTGCACACCCCCTACTGAGGATACATGCCCTTGACTGGAATCGAACCTGGGACCCTTCAGTCCGCAGGCTGACACTCTATCCACTGAGCCAAACCGGGTAGGGCTGAACCACTCTTCTTATCTTTTTCGTTCTTTAATCCTCACCTGAGGACATGCTTAGAGAGGGAGAGAGGGAGGAAGGGAGAGGTGAGACTGGGGATAGAACCCACAAGCTTTCAGTGCACTGGATGATGCTCAACCAACTGAGCCACGTCGTCGGCTGGGCCCACTCATCTTATCTGACCTCGCCCCTTTGCCTTGCTAAATCCTTCACACTCATCATAAATGTCATTAATTCTGGAAGGCCTATTCTGGTCAGTTCTTCCTATTTTATGTTCTCACAACACACTGTACCTCTTCTTCTCACAACTGTAACTTAAAGTGTATCTGTGTGATTACTGTGTGGTGTCTGCCTCAGCCACTGGATGGTTGGCTCTGTGAGGGCAGGAACCAAGTCGGTCTTGTTTATGCCACAGTACTAGCCCTACAGCCGGGGCTAGCATGGCTGGCGAGGAATCGGTTTGTGTTGGAGAAAGAGTGAATTCAACGGGACAAGGTGCTGCCTCGTGCCTGTCCTATTTAGACATCATCATCTCCACGCAGAAGACCCTCCCCGTGGCCTACAAGGCCCTGTGCCATCCAGGCACTGGCCTCTCTCATCCCTTCCCTGACCACATGCCCCCTCATGGCAGCCACACTGGCTTCTTTTTTTCCTGAAAAGCACCAGTTCTATTGTTCTTGGGGCTTTTCGTTTGCTATTTGTGGCAGACATGGCTAGCTGCCTTCTACTAGCCATTTCTCTCTTCAATAATTAATACAATAACACTATGAAGATCTCAGTAATAAGAATGATGATTTTTTTAGCTAAGTACCTGGCTAGAAGGCTATATTCCTCAGGCTCCATTGCAGCCTCAGCAGGCTAATTCTGTGATGCAGAATCAGCTCGGAGGTGGGGGAGGAGGCAACAGAGGCTGCACTGGGGAGAGAGGGAGGGGCTGCCCACTGGCATCCTGCCAGCCGTGAGCTCCCGGCCTGTTGACACGTCGGGTAATTTCCCCTCCGTTTATGGGAAAGCACAGCAGCCTGACAGAAACCCTGGGTATTTCCTGGGGCTTAACCTGGATGGGGAGCAGATGGCCTCCGCTGGCTGACTCCATCCCTGTCTCTCCACCCAAGCTCCCTTCCTCCCACCTTTCTCCTTGTAGGGCTGGGTGAGCGAGCAGGGCTGACCCCGCAGCTCCCTGCTTCACTCCTGTAGTCAATAGATGGGTGCGAGGGGCCATGAGTGTGGGTGAGGTGGTGGAGCCGCTGGCCCCAGCTGTGTGATGCTGGGCAGGTAACTTAACCTCTCTGATCTCAGTTTCCACCCTCACACAACATTGATGATAAAACCACTTAACTTATAGGGATCTTGTGAAGAGCAAATAAACTATTAGATGAAAAGCCCTCAAAACAAAGTCTGGCATAGAGTAAGTGCTCAACCAACATTAGTTATTCCCAGGACTGCATTCGGCTCAGCCACAGGCGAGACAGGAAGTCCTGAAGAGCTGACAGTCCCTCTGGGAAAGTGGAAGACACAGGAGATCCCGAAAAACTCCCAAGCAAAACTGGAAGGAACTAGTGATAAATGTTACCATTTGTTATTGAGTGCCTGCTGTATACCAGGCACGGAGACATGCCTTTTATATGCAGTAACAACAAACCTCTCCCTAACCCAGGGAAGCAGAATTCTTTGTAGCCCCATTTCATAGACTTAGAAACCGAGGCTCCGAGAGATTGACATAGAAGTGTCAGCACTGGGATTGGACGTGGATTCTATCTGGTTTGAGACCCTCTGGGGTGGAGGAGGGAGCCCTCGGAGCTTCGGGGCCACGTGTATATGGTAGACGCTATTAGCTTTTCCCTTTATGGGCCAGTAGCTAGTTCCAGATATTGGGACAATCAAGACACTCCAAATGCCTCCGGAAGATACCATCTCGTTAAGATCCGCTGACTGAGAGGGTGATGATCTAGGGCCTGGGGATTGTGAGCTACCTGCCCCCAGCCCCTCCCCGACTGCTTTTCAGTGCGATGAAGCACCGCTCTCCTGCTCCGAAGCCGGCAGCCTTCACCTCTGCGTACATTCGAGTCACCAGGGGATTTTATGCATCCCGATGCCGGGCTGCAGGCAGACTGAGGAAATCAGATCAGACATCCCTCCGGTGGCGCCAACAGGAGCCAAGGTCGAGAACCAGTGGCTCCCAGGGCTTCTCTGACTTTGTTTCCACAGATTACCTGGCGTCCTGGCACCTAACAAGCACCCAGGTGACGCTCAGGCGGCTGGTCCATTGACCACAATCTGAGCAGCGAGGGCTGAAACCCCAAACTGGAACGAGGGTCAGAGTCACCTGGAGGAGGTGACACACCCCGATGGCCGGGCCCACCCAGAGCTTCCGGCTCCCAGGTCTGTGCGGGCCCAGAGGCCTGCGTTTCTAGCACCTCCAGGCGATGCCCACGCTGCTGCCCGGGAACCACATTTTGAGAAGCAGTGGCTGTGAGTGAGGCGTGGGGTGGGTTCTGTAACCTTGGGCAAGAGGCTTCCTCTACTCCTCAGCTTCCTCCCCTCACAGTGATGGTGATGACACACTAGTGCCCCCTCCCAGGGGCAGCATGAGGATGGCACTGAGCGAGGGGATGTGTGCAATCCTCTCAGAGCAGTGCCTGGCACAGAGCGGGCGACGTGAGTGATGGTGGCCATCCTCGGTGCATCTCCCTCGGTGGGGGGTGTGGCCCGAGCACCGACAGGCCGGTGACCACCGTGGACGGCCCTCTTCTGGCCCACTCACCGCCCACGTTGTTCTTGTAGGTGTTGTACATCTCCTTGACCCGCCGGTAGCGGAAGGCCAGCTTCCTCATCCAGTCCACGCCGCCGTGGACGCCGGAGCCCAGGCACAGGTTGGCTCCTGGGGCGGAGCTGTGGAAGCCATCGGCTGAGAAGTTGTACGTGCTGGGGAGGGAGAGGGGGCGGGAGAGGGAGAAGAGACAGTGTTAATGTGGGAAGGGGGGCCCTTGGAACCGTGGGTGGGGCTCAGGGGCCACAGGCCCCCGAGTGTGTGAGGTGCCGTGTGCGTGCACATCTATCTGGGAGCAGGAGGACCACAGTGTTACCAGCTTCCCCATAGGATCGGGGCGCCTTTTGCTCTTGCCTAATCAGCGCCCATTTCCCTTTCTTTGGTGGGAAATAAGATGTCTATTTTCTTTTTGGGGGGACTAGCCCTTCCCTGTATGCAGTGGCCACACTAGGGAAAGCCCGTCTTTCTCCCTTTAGAATTTCTGGATGAAAAAAAAAGGTTGGATTTGGTTCATCCTGACAGAAGAGTCCATAAGAAAACCGGTTCCCACTACTGTGCTCCCCAAATCTGCCCTGCTCCCCCTCCCTTCTCAGGCCAGCCTGCTGCCCCTGCCCCCCTTCTGTGAGCACCTCCGTATCCTGCCACAGAAATTCCCTATTTTAATTTGTTTACTTGTTCCCGGAGGTAGAGTGGATTGCTGGTGCTTGGCAGGTAGAACCCCTGCCCTGAATGCTGCTGCTGGGCCAAGGCGTTCACGTGCGGAGACTGGGGCGCAGTCAGAGCTGCACACAGAATTAACCAGAGTGGCCGCTGGGAGCCAGGGGGACAACGGGGCGGTTCCCACCCACGCAGCCACAGCGTGAGCGTGGGAACCCCAGCTCTTCAGGGAGCACTGCGTTCCTTCCCCACCAGAAGCTTTGGGGGTAAACCACGGAGTAGCGCGCTCGCTTTAATGCCGCGGGCGAAAACCCCCTTGGGTCGTGAGGAACCAGACAGCGCAACAGGAGACAAGGTTCAGAGGAGCACTGCTCTAAATTCCAAGCCAGCTACAGGGGAAACTTAAAAAAACGGAACCCTGAGGAGCGGGCCTAAGCTGGCAGTCAGAAATCCTTAGTGCTGCCGTGGAGGCAGAAGAGGCTCTGGCCACTGCTGCTGCGCTCTCCTGGCTTCTGGCTGAATGGTGCTCCCCCTGTGGGAGCGCACTGACCACCACGGGGCAGCTCTGGTGTTGAGCGTCTGCTCTCTGGTGGTCAGTGCACATCATAGCAACTGGTCATTCTGCCGTTCGGTCGATTTGCATATTAGCCTTTTATTATATAGGATTAGCCTTTTATTATATAGGACTAGAGGCCTGGTGCACAGGATTTGTGCACTGGTGGGGGGGCGTGGCCTGTGGGGATCGGCCAGCTGTGGGAGTGCCGCTCATCCCAGTCAGCCGAGTGGCTGTGGACCCGCCCGCTGAGCGGCTGCTCCTGCTGTGGGAGCGCTGCTCATCCCGGTCAGCCGAGCGGCACTCCCACTGTGGTCAGTGCACATCATAGCGACTGGTTGACCCGTTGTTCTGGTCATTCTGCCATTCAGTCACTGGGCTTTTATTATATAGGATAATATATGTATGCTAAAGAATGCAATACAACTTTAGAAGAATATATACCAAACTCTTTTTTTAAAAAAGTGTTTTTTTATTGATTTCAGAGAGAAAGGGAGAGGGAGAGAGATAGAAACATCAATGATGAAAATCATTGATTGGCTGACTCCTGCACGCCCCTTACTGGGGATCAAGCCCACAACCCAGGAATGTGCCCTGACCAGGAATTGAACCAGGACTCTTAGGTCTGCAGGCCGAAGCTCTATCCACTGAGCCAAACTGGCTAGGACAGTGATGGCGAACCTTTTGAGCTCGACTTGTCAGCATTTTGAAAAACCCTAACTTAACTCTGCTGCTGTGTCACATATAGAAATTTTTTTGATATTTTATTGATTTTTCACAGAGAGGAAGGGAGAGAGATAGAGAGCTAGAAACATCGACGAGAGAGAGACATCGATCAGCTGCCTCCAGCACATCTCCCATTGGGGATGTGCCCGCAACCCAGGTACATGCCCCTGACCGGAATCGAACCCGGGACCCCTCGGTCCGCAGGCCGACGCTCTATCCACTGAGCCAAACCGGCTTCGGCTATACCAAACTCTTAATGGTGGTGATTCTGGGAGGCAAGGTCAGGAGTGGTTGAATTAAAAAAAAAAAAAAAGAAAGGTATTTATTTAGCTCTGGTTGGAGGAGATTGGCATGGAACCTGGAGGTGTGTGTGCTAAGTAGGAGTAGGGTGTTTTATGTGATTGGTTTGGGGAGACTATTTGGCTTTCACTGGTGAAGGACTGAGGGAGAGAGGGGGAGAGGGGGAGAGGGAGGGAGGGAGAGAGAGAGGTCAACCGAAGAGAACCACTGATAGGCTGCCTACTGCACACCCACTACTGGCATGTGCCTAGACCTGGAACCAGATCTCTAGGTGCATGGGACAATGCTCAACCAACTGAGCCACACTGGCCACAGCTGAATTTTTTTAAATATGCATGTATTACTTTAGTAAACAGGAAACAGAGAGAGAAACATAAGTAGGCTCACAGAGAATTTGTGAAAATCTCGGCCTCAGTGACTTGAGGGGATATGGAGGAGGCTGCAGGGTGCAGGTGTGATTTCTGGGCGCAGAGAAACACAAGTCCCAGTTCTGGCTGAAGCAGGCGTGTCTTGTTCTGATAACCAGCCCACGCCACCCGCCTCCCCTCGGACGCCTCTCCACTTCCTAGTGAAAGGCCAGTGCGATGACCAATCCAAAGGGGCATAGTGGACTCCCCTCCACCCATTCCTACCTTAAATCTTGGCCATTGTCATCGGATGAGACATCATCAACGTGGATCTGGTCACAATCCTACGGAGAATTTGGCAAGAAGAGGAAAAGAGGGAGAAATGTGACTGGTTAGTTAGATGCCACCTTTAAGAACTGGTTTCATAAAGGAGGGGTGGGATGAGCACTGGACTGGGAGTAGAGCCCTGAATTCTACTGAGCTTTGCCCCTCAAGGTCGATGACCTTGGGCAAAGTATCATTCCTCTTTTACCTTTGGTTTCCTTATAAACAATGGGCTATAAGGATATAATTTATCATGCAAACCAAGATAGTTTTGCAAGTAAAAGGGGCTGCTCTTAATATTACACTGGGAGGACAGGCCCACAGTGGGACCACCCCCAGGTACACCAGGACATATGGCGGAAACCTTCGCTTTGTTCCAGGTGTTTCCTCTGCTTGGAATTCTCTCCTACCCTCACCTACTTAGTAAACCGTGTATTCTTCTAGCACTAGCTTCTGGATGTACCCCCTTCCCAAGTCCCCTCTACGTCCCATGATCTGTGGTCATTGCCTATTGAGCACCTGCTATAGGCCAGGCACTATTCCCAGGGCTTGCCATTCAGTAGACTCCGAGGACATGCTGCTTGCGACCCCCGTTAGTCTCTCAGTTCCCTTGGGGAAACACCTTATCAAATGTGGGTTAAGACCACAGGGCGGGGAATGATGAAGGTGGGCACATAACCCAGGTTCAACCAATCAAAGGGACCTGGCATCCCTCTGGTCAAAGTGATTGCTTCGGGGAGAGCATGTGGTCTAAGCTGGACCAATGGGAATGAGCCCTGGGTCTCTGGCTGGGGCTTCTGGAAAAGAGGTGCTCTCTGGGAGCTGGAGGGAGGGCTCACATGGTTTGGTCTCCTGGATCCAGCCATAACTGAAACCAGGCCCCCTGGACCATGGTCGGCTGAATAAAGGGCCCCCCAAAGATGTCCACGTTCTGATCCCTGAAAACTGATATGGCAAAAGGGACTTGGCAGATGTGACTAAGTTAAGGATTTGAGGTGGGGAGATTATCGGGATTCTCCGGGTGGCCCCAAATGTAATCAGAAGGTCCTGTAAATACGAGGCAGAGGGATATCTGATGACAGAGAGGATAAGGGGATTGGAGTGGTGCCCTTTGAAGATGGAGGAAGAGGCCAGAAGCCAAGAAATACAAGAAGAAGCCGAAGAGGCCAAGGACAGACTTCCCCGCAGAGCTCCAGGAGAAACCACCCCGCGACACCTGCAGCCCAGCGAGACCCACGCTGGCCTTCTGGCTTCCAGAACTGAAAGAGAATACACTCGTGTTGTTTTAAGCCACTAAGTGTGCGGTAATTTGTTACAGCAGCCACAGGAAACTGATACCTTTTCAGTTTAAGCTAGAGGGGTTGGGTTTCTGTCACTTTGCAACCAGGAGTTAAGAGCGATGCTACGCACCCCACAGAAGCTACAGGCAATACACGCCAATCCTGCCAACTCCACCTCCATCGGAGAGCGCATCTGGATATGCTGATGCGGCAAAACCTGTGAGCCTGCTGTGCCAGCCGTTCAGAGCTCAGGCTCCAGAATCTTACCGCCTGGGTTTGGGTCCCGGACCCAACCATGACCCAGCTGTGTGACCTCGAGCAACCAGAGGTCGGGCTGGTACATGGAGGTAACGATGGGACCTTTGTCACAGGGTTGACGGGAGGAAAAGTGGGATGCCTGGCGCGCAGTAGGTGGTACATAAATGTGAGTTCTTATTATTGCAAAGAACACTGTGGACAGTAAATGGCGGTCCCAGTTGTGAAACTCTTTGGGGAGTGCTGGAAAAACGGGGGACAGCGAGGGACCCCTCTGGAGCAAGCAGATAACTGGCCTACAGCTAAAACCTCTTCTGCTCATTATTTCATATTTCCTTTCTTTCCATTCATGTTTGGTGGTCTCAGGTATAATTTAGTAGTCCCTCCCCAAAGTAGCTGAGTTCTATGGTGCACCCCAAAGTTAAAAAAATCTCACTGTCATGTTAATATTGTAGCAATTAGCTGCATGTGGTTATCTATAGTTATATTTAAATTAACTAAAATGAAATAAACTTCATAATTCAGTTCCTCAATTCAATGTTTCTTTCTTTTATTTTTTCACCCTTATTCCGATTTCAAGTGCCCAATAGCCAAATGGAGCTGGTGGCTACCATAGGAGATGGTGCATGTATTTCCATCATCACAGGAAATTCTATTGGGATATTGAGGGATAAAACAACTAAGCTGACAACTTATCAGTTATGCTAGTAAATTCAATTAGGGAAGAGCTTACAAGCTGGCCGGGAGACAGAGCTTATTTAGCCACAGTGCACTTAACATTTGTTTCTGGAAACCATAACCAGGGTGTAAACCCAGGGAGTCTCCGTGTCTCTGGCTCTGCCTCAGACTTTCAGCTACTTTGAGAATTTACAAGCCCCGGCAACGTAGGGCTTGCGTTCCTATATCCTGACAGTCGATGGCTGGGACGTCAGTTCCCCAGTGTCTCCTGAGTTTTCTTCATTTTACGTCGCCTGGTCACTTGGCCTCTGAGGGCATCCGAGTTTGAAACCTCTGATCACAGCCATCGGACAGTGATGGAAGGGTCTTAGGACCAGTGCTCCTGGCATAGTAATGAAAACTGTATTTAAAAGCCAACGCAGACTTGACAGAGCACAGAGAAAATGAAATGAATAGCGGATTGCCCCCCAGCCCTTTGCTTTGCCTGAAATTGGAAAAACACCTCCCTATTGCCCTCCAGTCCTTTGCTCAGGCTCAAACGCTGCTCTGGGGGTCACAGGCTCCGGCCCCCTGGGCAGGGCTCCCTGCTCTTTATTTCTCATTTGCAAGGGGATTGTTGGGGGCGCTAGAGTGTGACAACAGTAGCGATCACATTTCGGACTTGGTAAAATACCATGACGCTCAGCGAGACACTACCTCATACTCCGCCAGCTGACCTGGATTGAGTTACCTGCAGTGGGGGAGGGGGACAGGGCGAGGACGTAAGGACGGTGCCGAGCTCTTGGGGAAGGGGGTCCTATGCCTCTCAACCCTGCTAATGGCTTCCCTGGGTCAAAGTGTGAGAATCCTGGGGGGTCTGAGCGGAACCAGCTGGCGAAGACAGAGGCAGGGACCCGGGGGACACGGGTGAGGCACCGTGCAGTCCTGGCCCCCAAGAATTCGCGCTTTCTGACTCAGAGAGACACCCGCCAAGAGCCTGTGCACGGATGCCAGTCACCCCAGTGAGAAACTGGAAAACACCGAAGTTCCGCGAGTGGGTCACAGCTAATGAAATGTGGTCCGTCCATTCAGCGGAGCCCCACCCAGCAGTTCAGAAGGACGAGGTGGGTTTTCACGTTAGCACATGGAATTATTTCCAGGACACCCTATAGTGTGAGAAAAGCCGGCTGGAGAACGTAACAGCCTTGGAACAGGACCTACCGCAGAGGGTGTCGTAAGGGTTCAGTGAGCCATACAGGTAAAGCACTTTGGGAAGTGCCTCTCCCACGGAAAATGCCACGTATGCGCTTAGAAAAAGCACTGCTGTTATCACTTTTTTGCATTCCATACGCCCAAACTCTGAGCCTGGTACCGTCCTGGTCAAATTAAATCAAGGTCACCACCGAGAGAGGCTCACGGATAGCCATCCTGCCGACGCGGCCATTGAGAAGCAAAGCAGCTCACTCTCCGTGCATGCTCTGCACTCCTGCACCTCAGGGAGCCAGGCAGACAGGGGGAGGGGTAGACACGCTCAGGTCCCCATGACCTAGACGTGTGGTGCCCTTGGCGTTCAAATGCCCTCCCTGGGCTCCAATCCCTGCCCTGCGTTTTCTAGGTGTGTCATCTCGGGCCACTTGCTTAATACCTTTGAATCTTCAGTTGTTGTTTTAAGCAAACTCTTAATGTTAAATAGTTTTAGATTTACAGAAAAGTTGTGAATATACTATAGAGAGGTCCCAGCTATCCAAGCCCAGTTACCCTCATTGTTAATATCGGATAGTCATAGTCACAACTAAGAAATAAGTATCACTATATCATTATTAACTAATGCCATTTCTTTACCCATTGTTTTCCCACTAATGTCCTTTTTCCTCTTCTAGGATCCCAGCTAGGGAACCCCATTACATCTTGTCATCTTGTCTCGAAGTTCCTCTGAGAGGCGATAGTTTCTCAGACTTTTTCCTTGGTTTTGAGGACAATCTAAAGGAGTAGTAGTCAGGAATTTTGTAGATTGTCTCTCAACTGGGACTTGTCTGATGTTTTTTCTCATGGTTGGGCTGGGGTTATGAGTTTCGGGAAGGAAGATCACGGAGGTGAAATGCCATTCTCATCACAGCATATCAGGGTTCATGCTACACACACGACTTCTCGCTGTTGATGTTGACCTTGCTCACCTGGCTCAGGAGTGTTGGTCAGGTCTCCCCACTGTGAAGTAATTCCCCCCACCGTTCCACATTACACTCTTTGGAGGGAAGTCATTATGCAAAGTGACTCCTCCGTTAAGGGTGGAGGATCTAAACGAATTATCTGGAGTTTTTCTGTATGGAAGAGAAGTTTATTTTCCCACGCCATGCTTATGGGGTGTCTTCCCTGCCCCAGCCTTAGAATTAGCCTTTTTTTTTTTTTTTTAAGGATCCCTGGTTCCTTTTACTGGAAAATGGTATTAGAAACCAAGATCTGGGCGGTGGGTGTGCTTGTTGCTACAGGAGTGTCATGGCTTCTGAGCCCTCTCTAGCCACTGAGTAAGGCCTCCAGTTTTGCTTTTTAAAAAAACTATGAAACATGGGGCCCTGGGAGTGGAGCTCAGTTGGTTAGAGCATCGTCCTGATATGCCAAGGTTGCAGGTTCTATCCCTAGTCAGGGCACCTACAAGAATCAACCAATGGATGCAGAAATAGGTGCAACAACAAATCGATGTTTCCCCGCCCCCCCCCACCCCGGCCCTCTAGAATAAATAAATAAACATGTAAAATTTATGAAACAGGGTGAATGTACCCACTTCAGGTGTGTTACGAGGCGTGTGGCAGGCCTACTAGCTGGTCCCAGTT